TTTTATTTAGTTTTTTACATATTAGAAATAACTTAAAATTCATAACACACTAAATTACAATAACATCCATTGAAATTAAGCAAATAATAGTATAAGATTTTGAGTATAACTATCATGATATCACAAGTTCATAATAAAATTTAAAATATGAAAAATATGTATTTTTTAGTTTTTTACGAGTTTCGTGTCGTGTTTGGGTTAGGCGGGTCCAACCTGAAATTGACCCGTATTTTTCGTGTCAATTTCAGGTCGACCCAATTCTGACCCGAACCTCTTTTTTCTCAACCCTAACCCGCAAAATTCGTGTCGTTTTTGAGTCGTGTCATCGTGTCGTGACCCATATTGCCGGCCCTAATATGTATATATATATATATATATATATATATGATTAAGCTGCTTACGTGAGAGGCAATTAAGTAAGCGATGATGTTGAGGGTAAAACGCCACCAAACGCTGCCAAAAACATAGTCGTGACCCATATTGCCGGCCCTAATATGTATATATATATATATATATATATATATGATTAAGCTGCTTACGTGAGAGGCAATTAAGTAAGCGATGATGTTGAGGGTAAAACGCCACCAAACGCTGCCAAAAACATAGCCGGTGACCTTCTGTAGTCGTTTCATCAAGTAAATGGTGTGATACACTTTTGGGAGGAATTGAAACGAGAAGGTCAATAGGAGTGTCGTCATTATCAGTGAGATCCTCTCCTGTCGCAGTAGCTTTGGTACCACTAGCCAAATTATTAACTACAAAGAAGGAAGATGTACATTAAATCAATGTTAAGCAAACAAATGGAGCCAATGAACTGAAGCCGGGGATAATTGAACCCCTCAACTTTAATAATAATAATAATAATAATAATAATAATAATAATATCATTAATATTAATAATAATTGAATCTATTCTTTTTTATTTTTATTGAATAAAAAAGAAAACATTTTTGAACAAAAAAAAAATCAATGGTGTCATTTATTTATTTTTATTTATTGTCATTAACTTATATATCATATTTCATTTTCAAAAGGATAACGTACGCAATAATTCCTTGAGGAAAAATGAGAATGTCAAAATTATGCATCATAATATTTTTAGTTAGAAAAAAAATAAAGCATTCATTACAACAAAAGTGCTGATAGATAACATTGAGTAATAGCGTCTTTGAAAAAGGGTGACCGAATGCTTGTTTTTAGCAAATATTGTATAAAATAAAGTTAAACTTAACAATACTTATTAACTAAAAGACTTTTCAGGTATAGAATAAATTCTATCAAATATGTCTCAATTAGATTTTATTAAATATATACATATATATTTATCAAAAAGCGTTGTGTTCTATGGAGTAATTTTTGGGATCATGAAGAAGATGTTGTATGGAAAATGATTGGACAGCAAAAGGCATATTCATTAATTTATTGGCTTATGATGTTGGCATTTATCATACTTGTTGTTATTGTTAATGTGAACACAGTATTTTATTCTATGAATCTTATGAAGTATCGCCTATATATACAATCAAATGAGAGATTAATAAACAATGTCAGTTTATCTATGTACATCGCGAAAGATATTTTCAATGAGCTCAATAATAAAACTATCATACAATATTTTAAGACTTAAAATCTTATCAAGAAAAATTGTACTATTTAGTGATTGCTAATTTTAATTAACGATCCCAGCAGTTGATAAAAATTCTCTACTACCTCACTTTATTTATATGTGTACATATGTACAGAAAATATTTGGACAAATTTTTAATGGGTAGTTTTCATCCGTGACTATTCATTAAAAATAAAAATTTAATGATATGTATAAAAATCTAATCTTATTAATTATTAGACATTGTTTTAGTATACCATTGCAGGCAAGATACCAAGTTAAGTGCATAATCTATATGTTCGCATCGCACGATTAATGTCCTTCCTATTTCTTCTTTTCTTCCATTTTCAACTCTTAGCAAAAACGTTGACTAAAACACCAACCTGAGGAATCGGGAGAATCACAAAGGCGTCAAGCCAAAACCCCTTGAAGGACCGGAAGTAGTGCAACGCGATCTCACGTGCGTCCCACACGAGTTTCCCACAGCCAACCACCATGGACTCACTGGCCACGTACGCCAGCCTGAACTGAAGCCACAGGTGCCCCAAATGCAACACATCCAGCCCCGTCCGGGCGATCGTCACCACTGCCGCCAGTGCCACGTCGACGTAGAAGCAGGGGGACCCGCCCGCGCTCAGCGACACCACGTAGAAGAACAGCGGGTCCACTGCCAACGACACGCCGCGCGCCAGCAGCACAATGCGGTTCCACCTCTTCACGCCCTTGGTCCGCGGGTCCACCACGCCACCCGCCAAAGAGGATTGGGTTCGGAGGATTGCGCGGTGGGCCCTGCTCGTGAGAGCGCGAAAGGGACGCAGGGAGGAACCGGCGGACGCCTCCCAGTTGGGCTCGGTGGAGGAGTCGCACCGGGAGGAGTGGAACACCGGGACGCCCACATGAGTGCATGCGTAGCATTCGGAATCGAAGATTGGCGCCTCATTCTCGTCGTTTCTTCCCCTTATTGTGGTAGTGTTCTTGAATAGTAACTCGTTCCACCTGTAAAAGCCATTGTGAAATATTAACACATTTCAATAATGTTATATATATAAGTATATATTATAATTTATGAGTTATGTGAATAATTACCTTGGAAGAGTGGACATGGTCGGAGATGGGGTACAAGGGGGCGGGGGATCGGAGAGTACTAAAAGGGAGGGGGGCGTTTGGAAGGATAATATAAATTAGGGGAAAATGTGTTAATAATTATATAATATATAAGAAGGCACGTGGCTATAACGCATGAATGTAATGTGTGTAATGTGTTCTGCCAATGGATATGAGAATATGAAGCCACCTAAGTCAAATGCTGATTCCTTCTGTATTAGACTACTAATATACTGCCAACTTTTGAGTAACAAATCCAAAGAAATTTTCTTATTATGTGTATATATAAATAAATTAGGGTTTAACTCTCTTTTCCTTTTCTTTTTTTTTTAATTTGTTAAAAATTTGCCATGTCGACAGAGGGATAACTTTGAATCTTTTGATTCCTTCTGTATTAGACTACTAATATACTGCCAACTTTTGAGTAACAAATCCGAAGAAATTTTCTTATTATGTGTATATATAAATAAATTAGGGTTTAACTCTCTTTTCCTTTTCTTTTTTTATTAATTTGTTAAAAATTTGCCATGTCGACAGAGGGATAACTTTGAATCTTTTTAGACGTTACATTGTGTAATACTTTCTTATCTTTTAGTATTAGAAGACAGTACAAGTTGCAGCAATTTTCTTGACATGGACAAAAAGATAGATATAAGGGCTAGTATAAGTAGTTAATTCAATGTTGCAATCTGCTTATTTGATTTTGTAATTTCATTTCCTCACGCTCTTTCTTTTTGGAAATTTCAAATAGCATAAATCGACACAGATTTTCTCCCATTACCTTGGTTGCACAACGTTTTGACTTGGATTTTATTTTCTATACATAAAGAACTGAAAAATTAATGTTTTCTGATCATTTTGATGAGTACTTTTGGCTTAGATATTTCAATTAATGATCTCCTAATAGTACAATATTAGTTATCGACATGGTATGTAAAATCTTATTAACATATCTACGTCGGGAATAGATTCAAATATAATTTTGCTGATTACGGAGGAATCTCATCAACGTTTCCTTTTAATTCGGTGGGTGGAAGCATTTGAGCTCTCATGTGAGCTCTACATCTTTTGGTGAAGTTATGTGGGAAATTATCACTAAACTACATTTGCAAGCACTTTAAAGGAGATTTTTTTTAAAAAAAAAAAAAAGTAGAACTTGAAAAAAGCAAAAGAAAATTAATTAACGCATAAACTAAGAAAACCTTACCTCGTCATCATAATTTTTTTTCACTGGTAGTGTCCAAAAAAATTAAGAGGCATTTGATCTTGCAATGGTGAAGTGAGACCTTAAAATTCCATTTTCAGTGCTACTGCTCTACGTATATATACACATCGTTCATTTTACCGATTTGAGTTTTCAATTTCAATTTTACTATAGTTAAAAGTTCTCACAAAAAATCACATATAATATTTTTGTTACAATTAAAAACTCCCACATAAAATCACATCTTAACTTAAATATTGAAAACTCGAATCAGCGAACTTAAATATTGAAAACTTCGCTTAAATATTGAAAACTCGACTCGAATCGGCGAACTGAACCAGATTATAGAGAACTGAACCAGATTATAGAAAGAGAGAGCGACATGTAGTTTGTACATATATATGTGCGCGCATATACACATATATATTGACTTGTACATACATGGGCTGCATAGTTGCCAAAGCAGCCAACACTTGGCGTAAAGATGAAAAGTTGGTTAAAACTCTTATCAGACGTAGATGGAGAAAAGGAATCAAATTTCAAAGAGTAACAGGTCTGTTGCATAATATTGTCTTTTATAGCTCGTTTTCTGGTCACACCTGCACCGTTTGTTCATACTGTTGATTGTTCTTTTGTTGATATATACATTACTACCCTGCGAAATCCTTTATATTTTAATTAATTAAAACCTAAGTTTAATTAGTGGCAGATAATTATTCATAACTTCTCGAAGTAAACAACATATAACTCCAACGCTGATGACATTAATTGAACAATCTTTACATAACAGAAAGAAAAACGGTAAAAAAATATATAAAAAAAAACCTTTAATATTAAGCACATTTAATCCATGATATTAATAATATCTCCCTCTCTAAATTAAATAATCTGCCGATTATTCTTATACCTCTCACTAAATTTACTGCACCAACTCGGAAATCCACTCAACATGCGGCAAATCGGACTCCGACACATCCATTAACCCGGAAGAAGAAGTAGAACGCATCATCACGGCCATTCTCTGATGATCTCTTCTGATCTGATCATGCACATCATGACCATCACCACCGTCGCTTATCTTCAAAGCTCTCAAACTCTTCAAGAACTCCGAGAACCTTTCGAAAGAATCATCGTCAATGGTACTGATAGCACTAACAGTCTTCCTCAACCCCGGCGACGGCGACGACGACGATGATGACGTGGCTGCTGATCCATCTCCGCCGTTGGTACTGATGAACTTCTTATTGATGTCGTTCATGGCGTCTATCGACGCCGTCCGGATCGCCCGGTACGCGTAATGTCGCTTTAATTTGGTCTCCGGTCGGAGCTGCTCCGGCGAGTGTGCGAAGAAGCAGACCTTGCGCTGGCAGAACTGACCCGAATTGCACGCGCGGGTGCGGTACCGGGCGGGGTGCAGCCAGTACTCGAACACGCCGTGGGCGAATTCGCAGGCGTCGCCTTTCTCGCACCCACCGTTACGGAACGCGGGGCAGACGATGGCGGCGTAGTTGTGCTTACGGGGGTCCCGCCGCTGAGCTTTCTCGCCGCGGTGGGCGTACGGGCACTCCGTCCAGTCGTGGCTCCGCATCCGCGGGCACCTCTTGATCTTGTAGGCGTACATTCGGAACTCGTCGGAGCCATAGATTGCCTCATTGACCGCACGGTCGTTCAATTCGGCCGCGGTCGCAGCGGAGAGGTAGTGGTGGTCGGAGAAGTCGTAGACGGTGGGGTTGATGCCTTTCAACATTTTTTTTTTGAGAAAATGGAGAAATTATATAGATATGAGTGTAATTTGTAGGTAATCAATTAATTCAACATGCATGCAAGTACTAATTCTTAGGGTTTTGATCAACTGTTAGGAAACACCAAAAATGCTAATTTTCGTAATTGATAAAAATTGGCTTGGGAGAGTTTATAAGCTAATTTCATGAGATTTTTAAGAATCTATGTAAGATATTAACATTTAAGATGTATAATTGAGGAAGCAAGAATTGGGAAAACCAAAGAAAAATGATAGTACTTTTATGAGCTTGAATCTCTTCATGATAGCAACATCAAATAAATTAAAGGAAAATGTTTACCAACTATAATGGTAAAGGAAAGATTTGGGAAAGGGAAATAGAGAAAGGGAGAGGAGAAGCCATGAGTGGGAGAGAAATTCCAAGAGATTAAAAAGGGGCTTTAAAGAAGAAGAAGAGATCAAGGGCAATGAGGGAAAGGGCTCAAGAAAGGGTGCATTTAAAATGGCAGAATAGAACTCTATTGGAGTAAAAATTTAACCAGAGTGAGTTATACATTTAACCACACACCCCGACTCTTGAGATCTAACGGTAACGAACGTCTGATAGAGAAGTCCTATTACTCATATTCGCATGCAAGGTTTGTTTGCCATTGGGAAGGCTCTGGCTACCAGGGTTAGCCAGTTGTTATGGCACTCCAATAGATCATCGGCCATGTGTTGTTGGCCATTTTTAAGAAAAGTTGTGGTGCCATGCTCTCATACATCATTGAATATATGGTGTGCCAACTATCAATTCTAGTTACACACACGTACATAATAGAAATATTTGCACTGTTTTATAACAATGATTCGTGCTATGGTTCAGATCATAGTTTATGATTGTGATTTATTATAATATTTTCTCTCAAAAAAACACATATAAACCGAAAATAATTCTAAATCATAATTCTGAACTTATAAACTAAACGTACAATTGGTGATTTTATCAACGACTTTTATTAGTGAATAAGCAAGTTACTTTTAAAGTTTTAGTGCTGGTAAATTGCGTTTCAAACTTAATTAAATGATGTAAAGTACTTTTTAAATTGATTAACATTGATGCTACTTTTTAAAAAATTAGAGAAAAAATTATTTACATCCATGTGACATGACGGGCTCCGTTGAAATGTAAAATTTCAACCTCTATCATCCAATGAGCTCACTTAACACCCACAATGAATTTTGTGTTCAATTTTTACAGTTGTTATATACTTGGGGACTCTATAATATTTAATTAATAGAAATCTGTCAAATATTCATTAAAATATAAAATTATATATCTTTTGTTAACAATATATTGAGTATAAATGGGTGATGCCATTTTTTTAAAAAAATAAATAAATGAAAAGGATATATGAAATGAATTTTTAGATATTACAAGTATTATATAGCGAGTTATTTATTTTACTTGGAAATTAAAAAAAGTCTTATCAAGTCCCAATCTTGCAGGTTTTTTTTTTTTTAAAGGTAACATGTAAGAAATACATACTAATACTGATTTCGGTATACAAGAAAATTTATTCCTAACAAATGACTAATTCCACCAGTACAATCTAATGACGCATAAAGGGTAACAAAATGTACGCCTGATTTCCTCAACAGAAAACACATAGGCGAACCAAATATCAATAACTCAAAAGGCTCTTTAAAACAATCCTCGACAATCAATGGAAAACTCCAATCAATCGAGAGGAAAGTGTTGGTTTTCGAAACGCTTTTGAGTGCTGATGCGTGGTTGTATGGATCGTATATAACAAAAGTTTACATAAAACTTTTAAATAGATTATATTAATTTATACAATAATAAATTAATCATATTATTTTATAAAAATAGATACCTGGCAAATGATTAGGCGGATAACTTGAGATCTTTGATCATGAACAGTCCAAGCTCCAAGTTTTTTCAGAAAACCTGAATCTTTCTCGTCTAGTCTTTGAAATCTGCAAGACCTAGAGTGTGGGCTCTAATATAGAACTATCAGATTTGATCACTCGCTAATTTGTATTCTTTCACTATCAACACATGTATGTGAAGAAACTGGGAATTGGAATAACTTTTCTTCTCTTTTCTCTCTCTAGAAACCGGCCACCTATGGAAAATAGAGAGTAAAAAATTCTCTTTTCTAATTTTCTATTGTCTCCTATTTGAACACTAGAAAAAACCTTTTACTTTAACTTAAAGATGAAGCAATAGAAAATTGATTATTACTATATTTTAATCTCATTAAAATACAATTTTCCATTTAATTTTGGAAACAAATTTCTCCTTCCTTTGTACTACATGGCCGGCCACACCACAAGGAAACCTCCCTATGGTTGGCGCAAATCTGCAGCATGAGAGAGAGAAAATTCCTCCTTTATCCAGTTTCTAATTTTAGCTCAAATTCAAATATAAATAAAGTCAAACTTTACTTTTCTTTTGAATTAGATTGGAAAACTTGTCAAACAAGTAAACCATATATTTTGGAGAATAAGCAACTGAATCCCAATGAAATTATACATGTGTCACACGCCCCCTGCACCTCACTATGCCGGGACGTATGACCTCCTGTAGTCCCACCATAGTGTGTTCTAAAATTAATTTAATTAAATAATCTCATTATTTATTTCAAGTGATATTAAATCCTGATAATTCATCTTGTCTTGCAAATATTACAAGGATGACTCGGGAACTCATTGACATATAATTCTGAGCTCCAATAAAATTAATAATTAATTAAACTCTTTAATTAATTAATTAATTAATTCTATTAATTCTAAAAGTTACTCTACTAAAATCTTAGAATTGCACTCTCGAAATTATAGACATAATTTACTTCTAAGAACATGAAGTGTCCATTCAATATAGTCATTACATATCAATCCTCCATAAATAATTCATAATTAGAGCTAGCTAAAATTCATTAACCTCTCTAATTACATCTTTATCCTTGAGTACCATTGATTCTCTAATGAATAGTATATTCATAAAACACATTAATGAATACGAGCTCGTTACTTATTCAAGTACCGAATCAACCCTCAAGGGAATTATTGTTCTACTTCTTCAAAGAAGAATGAATGAGTTCCATCTCGTATATTAGCATTCTCGGCTATCCATTTCATAATGTTTCTAGGATATAAGGAATAGTATTTACGATCTCAAAATCCGTACCGAGTAAATAAAAAAACATGAATCCATAATAGGAGTCTACTTATAACTCAGGATTAAGATCATTCTATATATGACCATCGGTAGACTTAAATTTGATTTTCTATACTTAACAGAAATTATCAGAAAATTAAATTGTGTCTATGTCCTAGTTCTACATAATCTTATTAGGTATCATACACTCATTCAATATCTCTCTATATTAATGATGCAGATAACATCATTCCATTCTTAATGGGAATGACATGTATTAGTAATATTTTAATTAAAAATTCTATAACTTTAATTAAATTAATTACGAACATTATTTCGATTACTATCATTAAATATTATCCTCTCGTATATAACACATATATACAATATTTAAGGTTACATAAATAATCACAAAAATTTCAATGATATTCATAACGTATTCAATAATACATGGACATAAATAATAAATAAACTATTTTATTAATTAAATAATAAATATATTTATTACATTTCATGCTTTAAGGACACTATTCCTAACAGAAAGGACTTACAATACTGAGGTCATGACAAACACCACAAAGAAATGACTCTTGCGGGAAAACCATATAAAAATAAACTGCACAACATCAAAGTGACGATGGCCCCGTCACGCTTATTGGACAAAAACATACTAAAAACAAAATAAAGAAGCGGAGATATCACCATGATACGAAGAAGACGAACTCGGTCACCACCAAAGGACCTCATCCCTCTGACGAACCAATCTTGTCCTTTGATCACCGACTGCCAACAGTTGCGATCTCAATTCACAAAGGTCGAGAATCACAAACCACGAACACCTTCACCCATTCGTTCATTCTCCAACCATACTCCCCTTGACTACAAACCGAAACTATGCACTACCCCCTTCCTTAGGGCAGAGATCCAACAGTCAACCTAAGGCAGCGTTGAATTTCGGCCCAAGGGAAGAAAAAGGGAGGCGGTGTAGCAAGAACCTCATGAAACTCTAATAGATAACAGAGAAAGAAAGAGAGATAAGAGAGAAAGAGAAACCAATTTTGTAATATTTAAAGTGATGATTTACATATAGTTCTACGTATTGAAAAATGTATTATCAATCTTCAATTTTGAAATTGTACAATGTAAATAAGATGTAATTTTAAGTAAAAAATGTGCAGTAATAAATAAAGATGCTATAGCATAAAAAATTAATTTAGAAATTTACACTTGTAACTTTTTTATTTTTTTGGTCGCTAATCTTTTACGCATGTAACTTAGAAGGTTAAAAATACTACCACACGTCATTTGGACATTTTAAGAATTGTTTTGATCCGCACGGATAGCATTATAGATAGTATAACACTACAACAATAAAGGTCATTTGCGACGACCTTATTTGCGACGACATTTGTCGTCCCAAATATTTCATTATTTGCGACGATATGTCGTCGCAATTAACCGCCGTTAAATAAATTAAGCATATCATCACTAATAAGTTCAATGTCGTCACAAATAGTTTAGGCACGCAATTTCCAATGGCGCAGATTTTTGCCGCCAAAGGGAATCCATTTTTTGCGACGACAATATCCTTTTATTTGCGACGACAAATTTCGTCGCAAATAATACCACTCTATTTGCGACGATGTGTTCTCTTTGTCGTTGCAAATAAGCTTGACCGGTGGAATGATTATTTGCGACGACATATTGTCATCGTAAAATAATTTCAGATGTTGGGTATTTGCGACGGCATTTTAATTTATTTGCGACGACAATGTCGTCATAAATAATTTCAGATGTGGGGTATTTGCGACGGCATTTTAAATTTATTTACGACGACAATGTC